GTAGGTTTTTTCAGGCTATATGACCATGTTCTAGAGGCATTCTCTCCTGACGTTTCGCCTGCATCTATGGCAAGCATCCTCAGAAGTAGTGAGGTCTGTTGGAACTAGGAAAATAGGTTTATATATCTGTGGAAAGAACAGGGTGGGACAAAGGACTCTTGTCTGCTGGAGCTAGGTGTGAATGTTTTAACTGACCACCTTGATTAACATTTGATAGCCTGGAAGTGCCTGGAGCAATCTTTTGTTGAGAGGTGATTAGGTGTCCCTGATTGTTTTCCCTCTGCTGTTTTGATGTTTAGATTATTAATAATAATAATAATAATAATAATAATTTATAAGATTTTTTTTAAAAAACTACAAGAGCGATCTAATTGAATTTTATATACAATGCACAAGATAACCAGAGCATCAATCCCCAGAAGTTTCAGAAAGATTCACACATCTGCAGATTTTTGGGGATTTTTTAAACTTTATACAAAAAAGCGACAACAGGAATCCCTTGTCTGCCTTAATGTCACACAACCACATAACTTCAACTTAGCACAGATTTACACTACTACTTACTAACTTTAGTCCTCTTTGCAGATTCAGTAATTTTATTTATTATTATTAGACTGGCTCTAATGGCTGGCTGCAGCAGCTCTCATTTGGGCTTTTTGATGTCAACCAACACTGCATTCTGGGAAATGTAGTTTAGGGCAGGGCCTTTTGCATTCTATGCAACATAAGGCCTCATCTCCCAAACTATATTTCTCAGAATGCTGTGTTCTCAGTCTCCTCTATTGATTTTTAAAACTTTATACACAAACACTCCCCCCCCCCAAAAAAAGCGACAATAGCAATCCCTTGTCTGTCTTTATGATCACAACCACATAACTTCAACTTAGCACAGATTTATACTACTACTTACTAACTTTAGTTCTCTTTGCAGATTCAGTAATTTTATTTATTATTATTAGACTGGCTCTAAGCGGCTGGCTGCTGCAGCTCTCATTAGGACTTTCTGACGCTGAGCCGCACTGCATTCTGGGAAATGTAGTTTAGGGCGGGGCCTTTTGCATTATCTGCCACAGAAGGCCATACCTCCCAAACTACATTTCCCAGAATGCTGTGTTCTCAGTCTCCTCTATTGATTTTAAAAACTTTATACACGAACACTTCTCTCCCCCCCCCCAAAAAGCTACAACAGGAATCCCTTGTCTTCCTTGATGTCACATAATCACAGAACTTCAATTTAGCACAGATTTATACTAGTACTTACTGACTTTAGTCCTCTTTGCAGATTCAATAATTGTATTTATTATTATTATTACTATTACTATTATTATTATTAGACTGGCTCAATACGCCTGGCTGCTGCAGCTCCCATTAGGACTTTCTCATGCTGAGCAGCACTGCATTCTGGGAAATGTAGTTTAGGGCGGGGCCTTTTGCATTATCTGCCACAGAAGGCCTCACCTCCCAAACTACATTTCCCAGATTGCCGTGTTCTCAATCTCCTTCACAGAATTTTAAAACTTTATACACAAACACTTTCCCACCCAAAAAGCAACAACAGGAATCTCTTGTCTGCCTTAATGTCACACAACCACATAACTTCAACTTAGCACAGATTTATACTACTACTTAGTAACTTTAGTCCTCTTTGCAGATTCAGTAATTTTATTTATTATTATTAGACTGGCTCAAAATGGCTGGCTGCTGCAGCTCTCATTAGGACTTTCTGATGTTGAGCAGACCTGCATTCTGGAAAATGTAGTTTAGGGCAGGGCCTTTGGCCCTCCCAAACTACATTTCCCAGAATGCTTGTTCTAAGTCTCCTCTACTGATTTTTAAAATTTTGTACACAAACACTTCTCCCCTCCCCCCAAAAAAGCGACAACAGGAATCCCTTGTCTGCCTTGATATCACACAACCACATAACTTCAACTTACCACAGAGTTATACTACTACTACCTGACTTTAGTCCTCTTTGCAGATCCATGTTTCTAGTATCAATTCGTACGCACTAAATTAATCAATTTGATACGAAATACGAAGAGTAACGATAATTTTGCACACTCCTAGCATCCACACAGGAAGGGGGAAAAGACACTGTGGTGGATGTAATTCTGAGAAATTCAGTCCAAAGGAGACGGGCGGGTTTTTCCTGTTCTCAATCCCACATGTTTAAAATGAGCAAAATATTTTATCGCTGATCTCCTTTTTTGCTTTGTTTTTCCCACAGCGACATAATCCGCCTTCCTCACTGGTTCACCTACTCCGATAGTGTCTTCTGGAGTATTGACTCTCCCTCCCAATTTGGTCCCGCCTGCAAACTTGATGGTCATGCCTTCAAACCCTTCATCTAAGTCAACCTGTGGGTCCTCAGGTGTTTTGGCCAACAACTCCCAGAAATCCCATCCAGTTTACCAGCTGTTAGGATTTCTGGGAGTTGAAAGCCACAACATCTGGGGACCCACAGGTTGAGAACCATTGACTTAGAGAGTGCCTTTAACTTGGAGAAGAGAAGACTGAGGGCCCATCCACAGCAAACACGAGGGTGGCCAGGCGCCGTTCCCTGTAAACCCAGAAGCAATTGCTACAAAAGGCAAAAAACACGAGATTTCCAGATGCGGGAATATTGCAGTTTTGAGCCGAATATACAGATCTGTATGTCCCTGCAACTGGAAATCATGGGATTTTTTATCTGGGTTTGTTCCCGGGTTTTAGATGCTTGTTCCTAATTGGTCGGTTCCTAAAAAAGAAGGTGACACTTGAGTAGAAGGCAAAAACTTTGTTTGTGGAAGAAAGCAAGGCATATGGTTCTCAACTTGTGGGTCCCCACATGTTTTGGCCTACAGCTCCCAGAAATCCCAGCCAGTTTACCAGCTGTGTGTTGCGTATATGTGTGTGTATCTTTTTCTGCATGCATTGTAATGTATTTTTTATTTTTTGGCTTATTAAGTCCCCTCTGTTGTGTTTTGCAGTGTTTTTATGAGTGATGGTCACTTGTTGGCCTGATAGGTGTATTGTGTCCAAATTTGGTGTCAGTTAGCCTAGTGGTTTTTGAGTTATGTTAATCCCACAAACAAACATTACATATTTATTTATTTATTTATTTATTTATTTATTTATTTAGATAGATAGATAGATAGATAGATAGATAGATAGATAGATAAAGGTAAAGGTAAAGGTAAAGCTTTTCCCCTGACATTAAGTCCAGTCGGATCTGACTCTGGGGGTTGGGGCTCATCTCCATTTCTAAGCCAAAGAGCCAGCGTTGTCCGTAGACACCTCCAAGGTCATGTGGCCAGCATGACTGCATGGAGCGCCGTTACCTTCCCGCCAGAGTGGTACCTATTGATCTACTCACATTTGCATGTTTTCAAACTGCTGGGTTGGCAGAAGCTGGGGCTGACAGCTCCCTGGATTCAAACCTGCGACCTTTCGGTCAACAAGTTCAGCAGCTCACTGCTTTAACCCACTATGCCACCGGGGGCTCCAGATAGATAGATAGATAGATAGATAATATTGGTACTAATATTATAATGTAATACAATATAATAATCTAGATAAATAAAAATGTAATGTTCGTTTGTGGGATTAACATAACTCAAAAACCACTGGGAGGATTGACACCAAATTTGGACACTATACACGTAACGGGCCAACAAGTGACCATCACTCCATAAAAACACTGAAAAACACACCAGAAGAGACTTTAAAAGCTGAAAATTAAAAATACATTACAACGCATGCACAAAACCACATATTTACACAAACACACAGGAGATCGCGGTGGGTATAAATAAAGTTTATTTTATTTTTTTTATTATATACACAAATATATATAAACACAAAATACATATACACAGACCGGGCCACAGCAATGGGTGGCAGGGGACAGCTAGTAGTAGTAATAATACAGTATAATCTATATAAGTAAAATGTAATGTTCGTTTGTGGGTTTAACATAACTCAAAAACCACTAGGTGAATTGACACCAAATTTGGACACAATACACGTATCGGGCCAACAAGTGACCATCACTCCATAAAAACACTGAAAAACACACCAGAAGAGACTTAAAAAAACATTTTATTAAAAAAATACATTACAACGCATTCACAAAACCACATACACACAAACGGACACACACACGTATATGCAAACACACACACACACATATATATACACATATACACAAAAATATATACATACAAAACACATATACACAGACTGGGCCACAGCAATGCATGGCAGGGGACGGCTAGTATATAATAATAATATTGTAATATATAGTATATATAGATAGATAGAAAGATAGATAGATAATATTGATACTAATATTAATGTTGTGAACTGCTGTGAGTCGTCTTTGGGCGGTGTATAAGTAAGATAAGTAAATGAAATAATAAATAAATAATAGTAATAATAATACAGTATAATCTATATAAATAAAAGTGTAATGTTCGTTTGTGGGATTAACATAACTCAAAAACCACTGGACGAATTGACACGAAATTTGGATGCAAGACACCTAACAATCCAATGAGTTTATGGGTGATGGACACTCGTTGGACTGTTAGGTGTCTTGTGTCCAAATTTGGTGTCAATTCGTCCAGTGGTTTTTGAGTTCTGTTAATCCCACAAATGAACATTACATTTTTTTATATTTTTATTTTATTTGTATTTTTATTTTTTTATTATTTAGATAGATAGATAGATAGATAGATAGATAGATAGATAGATAGATAGATAGATAGATAGATAGATAGATAGATAGATAGATAGATAGATAGATAGATCAGGCTAATGAAGACTCCCTCTGCATTTTTCCCACCAAGCCACTAGATGGCGCTGGCTCAGCAGCCGCGGCGGTGGATCTCGTTGGCGGCGCCGCCTCCCTTCTCGCTGGCTGGCTGGCTCTCTGGCGCCCCTGGCGGCTCTTCTGCGCCTGCGCGGGCTTCCTTCCTTCCTTCTTCCCTTCCTCGCCATCTGGGGGGAGGGGAGGGGGGAAGAGAAGGAGGCGGGACCCGCCGCCACGTGACAGGGCGCTCCTCCAATGGTCGGCGCGGGAAGGCGAAGGCAGAAAAGGAGGGCAGCCAATGGGAGGGCGATTTCCCCCTCTCGACGACGCTGGCCTGCTGTTTGGCCGCCATTAGAGGAGAAAGAGACAAGAGGGAGGAGGAGGAGGGTGAGGGGGGTGAGGAGAGAGAGGGCAACATCACATCATCCTCATCATCCTCGAATCCAGGCCTTGTTTCTGAGGAGGAGGGAGGAGAGTAAGTCCTTGGGAAGGGATTGAGAAGAGGGGAAGGAGGGGATTGATTCATAACCCCCCCCCCTCACCCTTGTTTTTGGTTTGTCAACCTTTTCAGCTGCCGAAGGAAGAATGGGAGAGACTCGCTGAGGAGGAGGAGAAGGAGGAGAAGCCACCGCTCAGGATGCCGAGGCTGGGCAGCCGCAAGCAGAGGCACCGCTGAGGAGAGGGGAAAAGGAGGAAGGCCCTTCTTTCTTTCTGCCTACCTGTCAGGGGAGAGCGGCCTGGCTTCCTGTCAGGAAGGAGAGAGGGAGCACAGGCCCCAAAGAAGCCCTTCAGGAGAGGAGAGGGAGCAGGAGACAGAGAGAGACTCCTCAGAGACACACCTATAGACATTGATACTGAGGCACAAACACCTTCACAATTCCACACCATTTTGGGACAACGGGGTGTGGAATTCCCTTCTCTCCTCCAGTGTTTTCTTGGAAACGGGAAAAGAACACAGGCCTGAAAGAATCCCTTCAGGAGAGGAAGGAAGAGAGCTTCCCTGGAGAGGCACCTAAACATCCTCAAGAATCCTTTCCTCTCACAATTCTACACCATTTTGGGACATTGCAGTGTGGACAGGCCTGAAAGGATCCCATCAGGAGAGGAAGGAAGGGAGCTTCCCGAGAGAGGCACCTAAACATCTTCAAGAACCCTTTCCTCCCACAATTTCACCCCATTTTGGGACATCGGGGTGTGGAATTACCCTCTCGCCTCCTGTGTTTTCTTGGAAACAGGGAGAGAACACAGGCCTGAAAGGATCCCTTCAGGAGAGGAAAGAAGGAAGGAAGAGAGCTTCCCCAGAGAGGCACCTAAACATCTTCAAGAACCCTTTCCTCCCACAATTTCACCCCATTTTGGGACAGGAAGAGAGCTTCCCCAGAGAGGCACCTAAACATCTTCAAGAACTCTTTCCTTCCATAACTTCACCCCATTTTGGGACATCGGGGTGTGGAATTACCCTCTCACATCCTGTGTTTTCTTGGAAACAGGGAGAGAACACAGGCCTGAAAGGATCCCTCCAGAAGGGGAAGGAAGGGAGCTTCCCTAGAGAGGCACCTAAACATCTTCAAGAACCCTTTCCTCCCACAATTTCACCCCATTTCGGGACATCGGAGTGTGGAATTCCCTTCTCTCCTCCTGTGTTTTCTTGGAAACGGAGAGAACACAGGCCTGAAAGGATCCCTCCAAAAGAGGAAGGAAGGGAGCTCACCTAAACATCTTCAAGAACCCTTTCCTCCCACAATTTCACCCCATTTTGGGACATCGCTGTATGAAATTCCCTTCTTCCCTCTGCTCTGGACAAAAAAACAAGCTTTTAACTTTCTCACTTGAGAAACCTCCTCTTGGAAACAGGAAGAGAACACAGGCCTGAAAGAATTTCTTCAGAAGAGGAAAGAAGGAAGGAAGAGGGCTTCCCTAGAGAGGCACCTATAGACCTAAACATCTTCAAGAACCCTTTCCTCCCACAATTTCACAACATTTCGATACATCGGGGTGTGGAATTATCTTCTCGCCTCCTGTGTTTTCTTGGAAACAGGAAGAGAACACGGGCCCAAAGGAATCCCTTCAGGAGAGGAAAGAAGGGAGCTTCTCTAGAGAGGCACCTAAACATCTTCAAGAACCCTTTCCTCCCACAATTTCACACCATTTTGATACATCGGGGTGTGGAATTACCTTCTTCTGCTCTTGAAAGAGACAAGCTCCTCGTTCTGATTTCTTGAACTTTCTCGCCTTTTCTTGGAAACAGGAAGAGGACACAGGCCTGAAAGAATCCCTTCAGGAGAAGAGAAGGAAAGGAAGAAATCTTCCCTAGAGAGGCACCTATAGACCTAAACATCTTCAAGAAGCCTTTCCTCCCATAATTCCACACCATTTTGATACATTGAGGGTGTGGAATTACCTTCTCCCTCTGCTCTAGAACTTTCTCACCCCTTGGGTTTTCTTGGAAACAGGAAGAGAACACAGACCTGAAGGAATCCCTTCAGGAGAGGAAGGAAGGAAGGAAAGAAGAGAGCTTCCATAGAGAGGCACCTAAACATCCTCAAAAACCCTTTCCTTCCACAATTCCACCCCATTTTGATCCCTCAAAATAGAATTATCTTCTCTCTATAGAAAGGAAAAAAGAGACAAGCTCCTCGTTCCGGTTTGTTTTGAACTTTCTCACTTGGAAAACCACCTCTTGGGAACAAGAAGAGAACACAGGCCCAAAAAGAAGCCCTTTTAGGAGAGGAAAGAAGGAAGGGAGCTTCCATAGAGAGGCACCTAGAGACATTTATATTTATACATAAACATCCTTCCACAATTCCACGCCAGTTTGATCTATTGAAATAGAATTATCTTCTCTCTCTAGAAAGGAAAAGAGACAAGCTCCTTGCTCCTGTTTGTCTAACTTTCTCACCTCTCTTTTCTCGTGAGTCCATTTAAAGAAGGAGAAGGGAATATAAGGACTCTTTGGTGGTTTTTTCAACAAAAAAAGCACCCAGAGACTTCTGGCCTAGCAGATTGACCCAACGGATTCGTCTTGATCTTCTATTTCTTTCATTCTCTGCGCCTTTTTAAATTATTGTCATTATTATAATTATTGGAAGATACCCCTATTTTGGTTCAGGGGAAGAAAAAAGCAGGCATCAGAAGGAAGTGAACAAGGGAGAAGGGATTTTGTCGTTTCTGCCGAGGAATTAATTTTGGGATTTTGAGGAAAAGGTGTTTTGGTTTTTCTCTTCTTCCCTTCGAAAGAAGTTATTTCTCCCCATTTTTTTCCTGTCAAGGAAAAAGGACCCTCCAGTGTGGACTTGACAAGAGGGGAAAAACAAAACTTTTCTTTTGGCTGTTTTTCCTTTCGAAAGGTTCTGTCAACAACCTGAAGCAGAAGTTTTTGTTCAACTCCAGTGTCAGAAAAATCAGAACTTTTTTCTTTTTGGAGGAGTGTTTGCATCTTTTCAGTGTCTCTGGGGGGTCTTGAAGTTTGGGCCTTGCACTCCCCAAACCCAAAAGCAAGCCTCTCTTCCTTGGAATTCTCTTCTTTTGGGGCAGACCCTCTTTCTTTCCCACCGTTGCATCAGGAAACTCCCACCCTACAGACCCCTCTGGATTGGGCCACAAGTTTGAATTATTGGAAACTTTGGAAGACACTTTACGCAATCAGGAATTCCCCACCTTCTGGGAGAAGGAAAAAAAATTAAATTTGGGGCAAAGGGGAACGTTTGATCCACATTCAACCCATCGAGGAGATACCAGACTAGAAAGTTGTCCCCTTCTCATTGACTTAACTGAAAATATGTCTATGTCTGGCTGAGGAGAGAGACGAGAAGAAGGGGAGGGGGAGAAAAAAGAACAATCTGCTGCATTTCTTCCTCTCCAAGATGAAAAACCTCAAGATGACCATTTGATCCCATATATCGCATTTCTGCTCGTGAGGAGGAAAAAGAGACAGAGATTGCTGGATTTATTTCCCACCCGCCTTTCAATCGCTGGATTATTTGTGTCTTTCTTTCTTTCTCTCTTCCCCCCCCCCTTTTCCCATTTCTGCCCCCCTCCTTTTCGCCTTGAAGTAACCCCAGCCTCCTTTCTCTAACCTCCTCTCTATTTATTTCTTTGGAGTTCGGAAATTGAGCTCCTCAGAGGAAGAAGATTCCTTTCTTCCTCTCCTTTCCCCTCCCTGGTATTTGATATCATTAAATAATAAATAGATATTATTATTATTATTATTTATCCCGATCTATTTGTGTGCTGTGGCGCACACATCGAAAACTCCTCCCTGGGCTCTTCTTGTGGTTGTGTGGGTTTTAAAAAAGGAAAAAAAAGGGGGCCCTTTCGCTTGCTGGCTGGTGTGTGCGAGAGTGTGCTGTGTGTCCCTCCCTTCTCAGGCTGTGTGCCTTCCTCTCTCTCTCTCTCTCTCGCCCTGTCTGTCTCTTTTCTTTCTTGTCGGAGGCTTGTGGGATAATGGCGTGTGGGTTGTGGCTGTGAGGATGAGTTCTTGCTTCGTACCCAACGGGGCCAGCCTGGAGGATTGCCATTCCAACCTATTCTGTCTGGTGAGTCGGTGTGTGGCTCTTGGGAGCCTTTCGGGGTGGGTTTTGGGGGGCGATTTGAATCAACCCAAAGGGTGGATGATGGTGGAGGTTGAAGGAAGGGGGGGAAGAGGAGGAGGAGAAGGAGGAGGAAAGGTTTTACGGATCAGAGATAAACCTTGGTGGACGGGAAAGTCTGGGGTGGGAGGGAGAAGAAGGGAGAGGAGAGCTCACCAGCAGAAGGGAGGAAAGGAAAGGAAAGCAAGGGAAGGAGGGGAGTGAATAGGAGAGCGAGCGAGCAGCCATTTTTAGCATTGCTCCTGCTGGAGTAGGCCTTGCTAGACATTTTTCCAGCTCCCTCTGTGTACACACATGTCTAGATCCACACACGCACATATTTGTGTACATGTATACCAGCCCTTGTTTTTCTTTCCCTGATTGGTCTTCGCTTTGCCACCATTCCTCGGATTTATATTTTTGCCTCCTTCTCTCTCTCCTTTTGTTGTTTTTGTTCTCGATTCTCCTCCTAACTTCCATTTTTTTTCCACGCTCCTTCACCTCTTTCATTTCTGGCCTGTCTTCCTAATACAAAGATGTCGGGTGTGTCTTTTTCATAGTGACTTTTTCCTCAGCTTTTTCACCCCCTCCCCCCCAAAAAAACCCACATACACATACCAAAAAAAATACACACCAAAAATGCATTTTCTGTTTACTAGGCCAACTTTGCTTGATTCCTTAGAAATAAGGAGGAAAACAAAACTGTGAAAGTGACACAAGAGGTCTTTGGGGGTTGTCGGCAAAAACCCTTCACTGGAATTTGGAGATTTATTGTCGAAGGCTTTCACGGCCGGGATCGCTCGGTTGTTGTGAGTTTTCCTGGCTGTATGGCCATGTTCCAGAAGCATTCTCTCCTGAAGAAGCATTTTCCTACTTTCGAACACCTTGCTGCTAATCAAGGTGGCCTTTGGTAACAGTCACACTTGCCTCCCACCCTGGACATCATTCCACAGATATATCAACCTCACTTGCCTAGTTTCCAACAGACCTCAAAACCTCTGCCATAGATGTGGGCGAAACGTCAGGAGAGAATGCTTCTGGAACATGGCCAGACAGCCTAGAAAACTCACAACAACCCAATGTGGAGATTTTGCTTTTTCGACTTACAGATGAATGGGAGTAGCAACCCTTTCTTTTACATTGCACCCTTGTCTTGATGTCTTTATTTGTTGGTTAGTTTATTGCTGTTTGGTGAGCCAGTTCAGTCTTAATTGAGTTAGGATCCAGTTGAACTTCCTGCCCAGTCTAGGTTTTGGTGACCTCTGTCTGATCCCCCCCTTAAAGCAAATTGGTAGCAGATTTTGACTGGTTGGTGTTATTTAATCCTGGAAGTGAAATATAATGAAATTGATCTGCTTATGTGTAGTTATGGGTACGTTCTGCAGGACCACAAAACTGACCTACTCCCCTGGGGTTGCCTGTGTGTTTAATGTATTATGTCCCCCAGCCCCCCCTTTTCCAAAAACATAAACTGTTGCAGATAGAGCTAGTGTAGTGGGAGCTTCCTTATTGGAGTTAAATAAGCAGGAAATCCTTCATTGTCTGCAAAAGAAGTGGAGTATGCACTTCCCCAATGGCAGGGTGGTGAAGTTGAACCCTGGACTGAGCCCTGCTTGCAACTTGCTGCTCCCTTTGCTTTACAAACAAACCAAAACCGAGACTGGTTGAAACATTACCATTAGTATTTGTGGATTTTCTCAAAAAGTTGTGTTTCTGGAAGGAGGAGAGCAAGAAATATTTGTTTAAGCTGTCTTGAATGACTTGGGTTGTAGTTAAAATTGCCTAAAGTTGTCCCAACAGGGTGTTTTTGAAAACTAGATCTTTCTTACAGATTCTCTTGAGTGGAATTTTATTTTTATTTTTTGTGTGTGTGTCAGGAGCGACTTGAGAAACTGCAAGTCGTTTCTGGTGTGAGAGAATTGGCTATCTGCAAGGATGTTGCCCAGATGTTTTGATGTTAAGTTTTAATACCTTCTTGCATTGGTTTTTAGCTTCGATTTCAAAATTTGTTGGCGTTTGAAGTCTACAACCCTTTGGGTTGGATGTGAATGTATGGGACTGGGTCCCAGTATTGTGATCTGGATTTGTATATACACTTTGTGCTGGTCATGAACTGGAATAAAGTTTTGATTGATTGACCATCCTTGTGGGAGGCTTCTCTCATGTCCCATGCATTGGGAGCTGGAGCTGACAGAGGGAGCTCATCTGCATTCTCCCCGGATTCGAACCTCCAACCTGTCGGTCTTCAGTCCTGCCGGCGCATGGGTTTAACCCACTGCACCACCAGAAATAAGGACAGTTGTTATTTTTTTTCAGTGGTTGTCATTTTTCAGCAGAATTCTTGACTCCAAAATTATTTGCTTCAGGGTTGTTGTTATTACTTCTGACAGTAAACGACCTATCTGAAGGTGGGTCAGTTAATGTTGAGGAATGTATTAGACTCTCAGAATACACATTTTCAATATGGGGGTATTCAACAGGATGCCAAAAAGTAGTGATGTGCTCTTTGATGCTTTGTAATTCTAGAATGGACTTGAATAATCAAAACCACTGGTTTGAATGGAATAGAGGTTGAGGCTACAGCTCACAGACATTTGTCATAAGAGAAACAATTATTTTGTGACCTCCAAGTGCTGCATGTTCAGTGTGATGGGAAAGGCTGTGAAGTGGCTAGAAATCTCTGGTTTTGATAAATGCTGAAATGTACACAGAGATCACCCAGCCCTAACTGATGCTGCATTTTCCCTCCAGGCCGATTTAACGGGGATTAAATGGAAGCGATACGTATGGGAGGGCCCAACATCTGCCCCAATTCTTTTCCCGGTGACGGAAGAAGACCCCATCCTAAGCAGCTACAGTCGTTGCCTGAAGGCCGACGTTTTGAGCGTATGGCGACGAGACCAAAGGCCTGGGCGCAGAGAGCTCATGATATTCTGGTGGGGTGATGACCCCAACTTTGCTGACCTGATTCACCATGAATTGGCAGGTAAGGCAGAACCAAGTCAGGCTTGGGACAGTTTGTTTCTAGAGAATGTGCATTGCTTTTTATTATTATTCGTTTCCAGATCCTGCCCTGATAAACTTGATGCTGAAGTACATGTAACTGCATTTATCTGGACTATACCCTTCGCTTCTGGTCAATTCTTTACCATTGTATACTACAGGGCTTTTTTGGAGCAGTTATCCCCTTCCTGATATTGCACGGGTTATATAAATAGCAGTCATTGGAATTTCTGTATTGTGTGAATAGTAGTTTTCTGTTCTAATTGCAGAATGTAGTGTTTAGTGGAAGATGTGATAAAGAAAGGTTGTGCTTTCTTTGGAGACAAAGTGTGAGATGGTTGCTATTCTGTTTGGAATGAAATTAGGTAAATCTTACATGCATGACAGCAGGGTAGGTGTGCGATCCAAATTGTGCTTTGGATTTGTATTGTCGAAGGCTTTCATGGCCGGAATCACTGGGTTGTTGTAGGTTTTTTGAGCTATAGGGCCATGTTCTAGAACAGTGTTTCTCAACCTGGTTGTCGGGACCCCTGGGGGGTCGTGAGAGGGTGTCAAAGAGGTCGCCAAAGACAATTATAAAACACAGTATTTTCTGCTGGTCGAGGGAGTTCCATGTGGGAAGTTTGGCCCACTTTTTTAATTATTTTTTTTGTCATGTCAGGAGCGACTCGAGAAACTGCAAGTCGCTTCTGGTGTGAGAGAATTGGCTGTCTGCAAGGACGTTGCCCAGGGGACGCCCGGATGAATTGATGTTTTTATCATCCTTGTGGGAGGCTTCTCACATGTCCCCGCATGGGGAGCTGGAGCTGATAGAGGGAGCTCATCCGCCTCTCCCCAGATTCAAACCTGTGACCTGTCGGTCTTCAGTCCTGCCAGCACAGGGGTTTAACCCACTGCGCCACCGGGGGCCCACTTCTATCATTGTTGGAGTTCAGAATGCTCTTTGATTATAGGGGAACTATAAATCCCAGCAACTACAACTCCCAAATGTCAAGGTCTATTTTCCCCAACCCCACTAGTGTCCACATTTGGGCATATTGAGTATTCATGCCAAGTTTCGTCCAGATGCATCAGTGCTCTCTGGATGTAGGTGAACTACAACTCTAAAACCCAAGGTCAATAACCACCAAACCGTTCTAGTATTTTTTGTTGGTCATGGGAAGTCTGTGTCCAAAGTTTGGTTCAATTTCATCACTGGTGGAGTTCAGAATGCTCTTTGATATTGTAGGTGAACTATAAATCCCAGCAACTACAACTCTCAAATGACAAAATCAATCCTCCCCTCAACCCCACCAATATTCAAATTTGGGCGTATTGAGTATTTGTGCCAAATGAATGAAAATATATCCTGCATATTGGATATTTACAAGATGATTCATAACGGGAGCAAAATTACAGTTGTGAAGTAGCAATGAAAATAATGTTATGGTTAGGGTCACCACAACATAAGGAACTGTATTAAGGGGTTGCGGCATTAGGAAGGTTGAGAACCGCTGTTCTAGAAGCATTCTCTCCTTGAGAATAATAATAATAATCATCATCATCATCATCATCATCTTTATTTATACCCCGCCACCACCTCCCCAAGGGACTCAGAGGGGCTTACATGAGGCCAAGCCCAACAACACATCAAAGACAACAAGCAATAATAAAATAACAAGCAATACACAATATAAACAATACAATTAATATAACTCACAAGTAGACAATAACACACAAGAATTTAAAAAACTATGGCTGGGCCAAATGTAATAGTTAAAACTTTAAAAATAAATGCTGGATATGAACAGAAGATGTATCTATTTGGAGGGTTTTAAATCAAAAATAATTAAAGTGCTTCTCAGAGTATTTGCATGGGATTATTTCCTTTATTCAGGGAAGGCACACTGACATTTTGCCTGTGTCTATGGCAGGCATCCTCAGAGGTGAAATGTCAGGAGAGAATGCTTCTAGAACATAGCCCTATAGCCCAAAAAACCTACAACTATACTGTGCTTTGGATTTTCGTGTTACTATTTGCCATATAGAAGTTGCCCAACCTGGTGCCATAGCTGCATTTATTAAGAATATAGGATTGGATTAGTCTGTGGAAGCCATTCTGGTTTTTCTAACCTTGAGTAAGGCTAGACTATAACTCAGTGGCTGAGCATAAATATTGTAAACAGAAGGTTTAAATCACCAATTATAAAGGCCAAGTTTCAGATGATGGGATTGTGTCTGAAAACTCTGCTGCTAGTTAAAGAATGCAGTACTGGGCTAGATGGAAAAATAATCTTACCCGGTAGAAGACAACTTCCTGGGTTCTTCCTATAAATACTCTCAACCTCAGTTTCTTTCCTCTGTGGATGATCTGAGGCACAAAAGTTTAACCTCCAATGTGGAGGGGTGATTGCAAATGGGTATTTATTTATTGTATCAGGAGTGAACCAAGGGTACAGTTGTAATGTATATAAAAACTTGGCATTATACTAAATGTCCTTTGACTAGGAGCTGGCCACTTGGAGTGCCTCTGGTATTGCTCTAAGGAGGTCCTCCATTGTGCATGTGGCAGGACTCAGGTTGCATTGTAATGGGTGGTCTGTGGTTTGCTCTTTTCCTCACTCGCACGTCGTGGACTCCATCTCGTGATGCCAGAGCACAGTCTGTTCAGCGCCTCCCAAGTCGCCCAGTCTTCTGTGTGCCCATGAGGGAATCTCTCATTTGGTATTGATGTTTCAGGTTTTCGCCTGCCACTTTTGAACTCTTGCTTGCTGAGGTGCAAGTATCTCTGTAGATCTTTAAAAAACTATTTCTTGATTTAAGGATAATATCTGAACAGGGGATGGGCCGGAGATGTCACTACCTTGGTCTTTTCATTATTGGCTACTTCTTGGGGTTCCGGGTTTTAGCCTGCCACTTTTGGACTCTTGCTTGCTGAGGTGTTCTTGCGAGTATCTCTGTAGATCTTAGAAAACTATTTCTTGATTTAAGCCATTGTTGTTCTGGCTGATATCCGAACAGGGGATGGGACGGAGATGTCACTACCTTGGTCCTATCATTATTGGCAGCTACTTGAGGTTCTGGGTTTTAGCCTGCCACTTTTGGGCGCTCGCTTGCTGAGGTGTTCCTGCAAGTATCTCTGAAGATCTTAGAAAACTATTTCTTGATTTAAGTCATTGGCATGCTGGCTGATATCCGAACAGGGGACGGGTCTGTGCATGTGGTCCTTTCATTATTGACTGCTACTTCCCAGCGGATGTCAGGTGGTGTAATACCGGCTTAACAGTGTAATTTCTCGAGTGGTGTAGAGCATAGACATACTCTGATAATGCATCATGTCTCATTAAGAGCCACATCCACTGTTTTAACATGGTGAGATGTGTACTCAGCAGTGGAATAGCTATGCACAAGGGCAGATGGCTTCACTGTGTCTGGTTGTGATCCCCAGGTTGTGCCAATCAGCTTTCGTATGATATTGTTTCTAGCACCCACTTTTTGCTTGATATTCAAGCAGTGCTTTTTGCAGGTCAGAGAATGGCAAATGGGTGAATTGCTAACATTTGGAAGTGAGGAATAGATAATGACTTAGTGGTCACTTTTTGTTCACTGCCTGCTTTTTTGCCCTTTCTTGTTTTCTGCAGTATATCAAGGATGCTCTCCCTGTCCAGATAAAGATTTTATTATGAAACATCTGTGAATAAATTTGCCAGCATTTTACAAACACAGTTGTGGTTAGGGAGTTAGAGAAGAACTTCATGGAAGTATGTTTTGAGGAAGGAGTGGGGGGTCGACTTAGTAGATGATCTGATTCTGGTCACTTTTGAGAGAGGATTATCTTTATTCTGACTCACAGGACTCTTGAAGGAGTATTGTCTCTTGAACGAGTGCATTGGCAAGTAAGAAGGAAGAATAATGAACCAAACTGGGATGTTTAACTGTGGGTATGTTAGCTGAGGATGATAGGATGTATCATCCAGGCCTTTGGATGGTTCCTGTTTGGAGAAGGCAGGATTAGATGCTCAAGGTCTGAAGTGTTCTATTATTGATTGAGTCTTAGCACGAGTCAGGTGAGAAGCCTGACAGCATCTCAGAATATGTGTACTAATGTTGGGATCCCCTCTTTGTAATGTTTCTGAGAGTTGCATTTTGTATTTTCTTTTATTTCTTCAACACACTGATGTTTAAGCTTCCTCCGTGTAGCAATTTCTCTGGATTGGAAGATGTGCTTAAACTTTTAAATGTCATATGTAAACTCTGTTGGTATCTACATCTCCCGAGCATACTTGGTGCTTTGTTACTGTCAATGAACATTTGCATAGCTGCTTAATTTTTCTACTCATCTTACAGATATTAGAATCCCTTTCTGTAGGCCGCAAAGCAGATAAACAAAAACACATCACAAAAAATAATAAGTGGAGAGGGATGTATGTGGAAGACAGGTGCCGTGTAACAAAGCACCAGCTATCCTTGCTGCTTTGAGAAGTGTCATAAACAGCCCTTGGGTTGGGTCGCTGTGGCTTTTCCAGGCTGTCTAGCCATGTTCCAGAAGCATTCTCTCCTGACATTTCACCCACATCTATGGCAGGCATCCTCATAGATTGTGAGGTATATTGGAAACAAAACAAGGGAGGTTTATATATCTGTGGAATGTCCAGGGTGGGAAAAAGAAGTTATGTCTGTTTGAGGCAAGTGTGAATGTTACTATTGGCCAACTTGATTAGCATTGAAAAGCCTTACAGCTTCAAAGCCTGGCTACTTCCTGCCTGAGGGAATCCTTTGTAGGGAGGAGTTAGCTGTCCCTGATTGTTTCTTGTCTGGAATTCCCCTGTTTTGAGGTGTTCCTCTTTATTTACTGTACTGATTCTAGAGTTTTTTTTTAAATACTGGTAACCAGTTTTTGTTCATTTTCATGGTTTTCTCCTTTCTGTTGAAATTGTCCACATGCTTGTGGATTTCATTGGCTTCCCTTGGGTTCCTAGTTCCTACACATTAAACACCCTAGGT